CGTGGCAGAGAGTGAGAGAAAGACATAGAGAGAGATATGAGAATGTGTGGGGGAAGAGAGAGGGATAAAGAGAGAGAGGTGAGAATGTGTGGGAGAGTGGGAAAAGAGAGAAAGAAAGAGATATGAGAATGTGTGGAGGAAGAGAGAGAGAGAGAGGGAGAGAGGAGAGGGTGTATAAGGAGGTAGGTGTTATACTAATGCTTCTACCTTAATGGGAGGTTGGGTTCTCTGGTGACCCTCCTGTGTCAGGGCCCCATACAGATGAGTACTATACTCCCAGCAGCTGATTGCAGGCATGATCCGACCTACAGTAAAATATAAACTCACATAATTTTTGCTGATATGTGTAAGAATAAGTGAGTCCAGTGTAGAAGAAGAGATACAGAAAAGACTCCACACTAATTAGTTTATGAAACACAACACCACGTTGTCTTCATATGGCAGGGTGAGGCTAAGTGATTCACACCAGGACAATTGATGTCATGTCATTAACATAAGTCATACTTTCAGAATTGGTCTGTCATACAATGTAACAAGGAGGAGGTGCATATATAAATAGTACCAATGAAAACATTAATAGCATTATAAAGGTAAAAACACATACAAATTGTTGCAGAGCACCTCCACCTTATCTCCTTTCGAAATGTCTATGCTTATAAATAGGTTTTTAGACAGAGACAATTACAATAATAAACATTTCCAACAATCATAAATAAGCAATCAGCCCTGATGAGATATATATACATAGCATCTCCAGGTAGATCTTCTATGCATTAATTAGGTTAGCAATACATGCCTTATCATTTTTTTTTTTAGCAATCCAGAGTTCAATATGGGTTACCCACATATACATCACAGTAAATACATTCATTGCATATGGGCTAAGTGTCAGTAACAACAGGCAGGATTCACAACGAGCTGCTAGCTCGTGTTAGGTATAATATTGTGTGTGTGTGTGTGTATATATCACATCACACTGCATACAAAAGCATTTTCCAAGTGACAAACGAATGTAAGGTTCACCTGGTGATCTGAGCCCTCCCAGGTAAGAGATCACATCAGTAGCACATGTCCTCTAATGATGTCAGGGCTAGGGTTTTGGAAATTAAATAGTTTTGGTGGAGCTTTTGTATTTTTCTATATTCATTAGTGATGGGAGGCTGGTCCAGAGCCCCTGCAGCGCTGCTGCTATAAAAACACTCTGTGCTCCCCCTCCTAGCCAGGCACCAATTAAACTGGCTCAGCAGCTCCAACACAGCTCTGTCACCACGGGACCCTTACACAAGCAGCCTACATGATTATGGATTTTCTCAGTGATAAGTTTGCCCTGAAGAGCCAGCCCGTTAAAAACAGCGACTTCTACATGGGAGCGGGGGGCACATTGGAGCACGTTATGGAAAGCTTGGACAATGAGCCCTTTTACAGTAAGAACCCGGGCAATAAGTGTGCTGTACAGGCCTTCAATGCCATCCAGAGGAATGAGCACCATGTGAGGATAGACAGGAGCTCTCCCTGCCAAGACAGCAATGGTAAGATGTCACCTTCCCTACACCCATGGCTTCTAAGGGTTAATCCATCACCTACAGAGTGCATACAATACAACACACAGCTTACCAGTCATACAACAGGCATACAGAAGAGAATTGTGTGTATGTGATATATTCACTCTTTTGTTTGTTATTTTACTGTTTTACTGTGTGATTGTTACAATAAGCTGTACCCTTCAGTATGTTCAGTATAGGTTATAATTAATTTCCAAAGCATACCGAAATAGTACATATGTGTTATATAAATATACAGTATATGTGTGTATAATATAAATATATTATAATTACACCCATATCTCTCTCTCTCTCTCTCTCTCTATATATATATATATACACACACACACACACACACACACACACACACACAAACATCTATTTATCTATCTACATTCATATATGTGTGTCCCAGTGAATAGCAGTCTGTAAAATGAGGTTAGGCCATCCTTGCTATTTGTACACACTATACCGATCAGTCAGGAGAACAATACAGATTATTAATATTGTTTGATATGGTATAGGGAGTCTTTCTATTATCTGAGTATTGACCCTCCCTGCTGTCACAAATATCTAGGATCCAGCATGGTAGCTTAGTACTACAGCTAAAGATATGGGTAGGTCTCCTCTCTCCCAGTTTATGTGGACAGATGTCTTATATAATAACATTACATGTACACAGGATAATGTGTGGACTTCAGTAAGTAGGTCCAGGTGAAATACTCACTCCATCCATTTCCCTGACACAGACCTCCGCTGAAGACATGTCTATTGAATCCGGAGCCCTCTGTCTATGATCATCCAGGGTCACCCGGTGTTATTCTTCCAGGTCTGATAGATGTGTCTATGGACACTGGAGTTATCCTTTTAGTATGCATTGTATTTGGTGGTCCTTATACGCTTTTTTTTTTTTTTTACATCCTGCGCCTTATTATTTCCCTGATTTCTTAAGAGACAGAAAAGGTTTACTTTTCCAAACCCATTTTTTTGCTCAGAAATATTATATTTCAGAGGTAAGTTTCTACAAAAGATGTGTATTCAATAAGAAATAGACACACATTGACATGGCAGGTAGAGAACACAGTGTATGTATACAGTACAGGAGATAGAAAATACACATGCTGAAGGTATAGTAACACACTTATTAATAAAAGGGTTGGAAAATTTGGGGGCAGAGGGAGTCCTGGGGGTCCAGGGCAGAAAAAGAGTGACCATTGTAGTGGTGAAAGCGGGGAGGCCATTAAGTTTCCAAAGTGAAATCAAAGTCTGGTGGTAGTTATTTTAATTTCGTAAAGTGTAGTAAATAAGGGGAAGCTGCATTCATTGCAATCATTTGCTATAGGACAAAGTCCTGTTTTTTTCTTCTTTGAGCTAAGTAAAGAATGACTTTCCTAAGCTTAGTGAATAATGACTTTGGAAATAATTATTTGTTCCCTTAGTAAACCTGTCCAATGATTTTGAGACATGTGTAGTGTTATAGGTAGAGAAGTAGGTGAGACTTCTATTGATTAATAAAGCCTATTCTATGACAGGGGTAGGCAACCTCCAGCTGTTGTAGAACTACAAATCCCACGAGGCATTGTAAGACTCTGACAGCCACAGACATGACTCCCAGAGGCAGAGGCATGGTGGGATTTGCAGTTTCCCCACAGCTGGAGTGGCAAGGTTGTCTACCCCTGTTTTATAGTATTACAGCTCTGTGTGTTGAGTTGTCTGCTCATCCCTCCAGTGTGTGCCCTGCCTCTGGCTCTTCTGGAGCTGTGACTTGGCCCTCCAAAGCATCCTCTGTCTTGTGGTATTGCTGGCTGGGACTTCCAGTTCCACAGCAGCTGCACTCCCCCAGGTTGCCTTGCATTGATGTATGTCGCTGCTCTACCACTGAGTATTTTCTCTCAGGCTATAAGAGATCTTTCATGTTTTGTAACATGCTGGATCAGTTATCCCCTGACCTGACATAACAGTTCAGAACCGTGACTGCCTGCCTTGTTATTGTTTCATATCCTCCTGAAACACATCAACAGGCACCTCTGTCTGCACACACAGCACACAACATGCTGCTGGGTTCATTCTCTGCCCCATAAAGGGGGACGTATTGTTAGAGCATTGACAGCATTCACAATTCCAGGCAATGTGGAGCAAAAGGGACACTGTGCCCAAAAACATATCAACTACATTTCTCCTTCTAAAGAATAGGTCACCTGCAAAAGCAAAAAAAATACAATATAATAATTGCATTAAAATAATAAACAAATGCAGCATTTGGCCAATTAGCTGGAATGACAGATGATGTTACTGTCCACATGTAGTCACACAGTACAAAGTTACGCTCACTGTGTGTGCCACAATTTCATGTGCAGTGTTGTGCCTTGCTGCTTCTTATAGCTCAGGGATTTAAATCAAATCCATCATAAACTAGGAATTCTTTATTCAATGTATATGATCTTACTTTCTATATTGTCTTTAAATTCCCCCCAAAATAAAAAAAAACATTTCTGATTTAGTACGATCCAGTTTTGTCACCCCTGAAAATTGGAGCCAAGGGAAAAAAAGCACTCATGGCAACATGTCAGCTCATTCCACATCCTGCTCTGGAAAATGAAAACGCGATTAGTTGCCATGGGTGACTGCTCCATCTCCCTTGCTCCAATTTCCACAAGTCAGCCCTGAAGGACATTCCATTAGAAGTGCAGGGGAAGAAAGCACTCCAAAGTGATCCAAGGAATGGCACATTTCTGCAGAGTGTATAGTGCCCCAGATGTTTGTGGTTAGCTGTATTGTGAGAGTCTTCTTACTGAGATCAGACTACATTTTCCTTCCTCAGTGAACTATGGCATCACCAAAGTGGAGGGCCAGCCTCTTCACACGGAGCTCAGCAGACCCCTGGAAACCTGCTGCAGCATGCGAGTGTCTCCAGTGAAGGCAATGCAGGACAAAGGGGAGCTGGACGAGCTGGCCGACAAATGTGACAGCAATGTGTCCAGCAGTAAGAAGAGGAGGCACCGCACCACCTTCACCAGCCTGCAGCTGGAGGAGCTCGAGAAGGTTTTCCAGAAGACCCATTACCCTGATGTCTATGTCAGGGAACAGCTAGCCCTGAGGACCGAGCTGACTGAGGCCAGAGTACAGGTGAGAGTCGGACACTGATACTCAGGGCAGGAGATCCTGCTTATGAGACTATTATTATTATCACTGCCATTATTATTCTTTGTTTCATTGTTATTACCATCAATCATAAACACAGCACTTATAATAGCAACAATAATGCAATGGGTCATCTTTGTACAGAGAAGAAGAATGTAACGCCCATAGTGACAGTCTGCAGATACTATACACACTTATATATACTATAACTGCCTGCTGTGTGTTTTGTACACATTTATAACACGAGTATTTAACAACAAGTAATGCATTACTACTGCTACTACTACTATTCATATGGCTACTACTATTATTATAGACATATAAATAATTAATAATAATAATAATCCTGAATATGCAATGGGTGATCTTTTAAACAGAGAAGCAGAACGTACAGCCCATAGTAATTGCCCACATACTCCTATACACACTTTTCAATTTTGTAGTCGCCGGCTGGGTGTTATGCATACAAACATTTAATCACACTCAAGTAATTATTTACTTCTACTGTTACCACTATTTATACTGATGTTAGTATTCTTATCACAATTTAAAAAAAATCATCATCATCATCACTATCATCATGCAGTGGGTGACGTTTTTGTTTATAGGGAAGCAGAATGTCCAGCCCACAGTGATTTCCTGCATACGATATACACTATGTAACACTAAGCTGTGTGTTACATAACGTTTATATTGCAAACATTTAAACTTTTTAATTACATTCTCTTTATTAAAGTTTTTATGTTTTACACTATTTTTCATATCCAATAAAATGAATACATTTATTACAAACTATTTTACAGCATAACAAAACATTACAACCATAAGCAAGAAGACCCACAAAAATCATTTTCACCCCCAAATCCTATTTTTTTCTTTTTATTAATGACTGGTAACATAATGTCTCCTTCGTCTTTCTTTCCCTCATAAATGAGTCTGTGCACGTAGTGATGGCGGATATTGTAGACAGTTCTTCAGCTCTGGATGTGTCAGTGAGATCTAAGTAGGTAATATTTTGTCCATGCCGCCTTCTGTATGGTGTCCATTATAGTGAATGGCTGTAAGCTGAGGATAAACGTGGCAGGGTAATAGGAGGAAGCAGGGTTGCAGTCTGGTCCAGTGCTGAGACTGACAAGGCATCCACATTAATACACAGCCATAAACATGACACTTCTCTAATCTCCCATCACTGCAATAGGCAGCAGCTCGCTGTAATGGGGGGATTTCACTGACGGCGTTTTCCTGGTTTTAATTTTATATTAAAGGCCATGAGGTGGAACATGTGGTTAGAGTTCGTTCCCTATTTGCCTTGAAAATAATGACCATTAAAGATATAACAGAGAGCTGAGGCAAATGCTAAAGACAGGCAGCTTGTTTGACTCTAGCAGCTCTGTACTATGGACATTTATTACTCCGCTAGTCCTATACCCGAGCTGCACAGAAGTCTGTTTAATTCTTTACACGAAAATCAGAGTTTTGTGACATTTTAGTATTTATATATAATTAAGTCCTATGGCAGAATTGCACAGGTTTCAGTTTTTATCCTTCACATGAAAATAAGTTAATATTCACATATAAACATAAAGTTTTATATACCAGAACTGGACAGAAGTCTGTTTAATTCTTCACAAAAATCAGAGTTTTTTGACATTATATTATTGATGTATAAATATTAAGTCCAATACAAGAACTGCTCAGAAGTCTCCTTAATCCTTCACATGAAATATAGAGTTTAGAGACATTTAAAATTCATATATAGATATCAAGTCTTATACCAGAACTGCACAGAAGATTTATTCCTGCTCGTTAAAATTAGAGTTTAGGGACATTTAATATTTATATATAACTAAAAAGTCCTATACCAGAACTGCCCAAATGTCAG